TTTTTTTTTTAATTGAAAGTGTCACCTCTCTTTAAGTGGAACCATACTCCCACCCCTGCAAACTGTTTCACTAGGCCCCAGCTTAGTGAATGCTAAGCTGCATTGTGGAGTCTCTCATTTCTGCTCCTAGTCAGGTGATCCCTGTTTGGCCAATCCCCTCAGCTCTGACTCATTTTCTTGAGCTGGAAGCAGTAACCAAGTACAGACTGAACACGTTTGACTTGGGCTCTGATGCTCCTTTTGACCCTCCTTATTCCTGAGCCCCTTTGAAATCAGCTTCTACAACTTGGAGTCGATTCTCCTGTCTCAGCAGTTCACCGAGGCCTCTCTGCACCCACTATTCCAGGTACAAATGCTCCTTGGGGGCCCCACTGGTGCTCTGAGCCAGGATCTAAACCCATGTGGTTAGTCTTGTTTGTATCTCCACTGGGAAAGGGGAAACTACAAAATGTGGCAACATTCTTAGTAGGAAGCCAAAAGTCCCAAACAAGAACTTGCGCCAGTCTTTCCAAGGTGGAAATTTAAAAAGCAGAGGCGTTGGGCAGTTTTTTTTTTTTTATGTCAGGCATTGATTTAGGTTTAATAAATATAGAAATCTGAGATTGGTCTCCAAATAATCCCAATAGTTTCTGCATTTCAATATATACAGCTATGCCATGATTCCCCATCAGTTTCTCTTGGGAAGCACCAGATATGATGCTTGGCTGTAACATTCAAAGGTTTCAAATTTTTTATTTACTCATTTATGGCTGCTGAGGGTCTTAGTTGTGGCACATAGGCTTTGTTGCTCTGTGACATTTGGGATCTTAGTTCCTTGACGGGAGACTGAACCTGTGTCTCCTGCATTGGGAGGCAAATTCTTAACCACTGGACCACCAGGGAAGTCTCAAAGGAACTTTCAGTTTTTATTTCCTCAGTCCCTGTTTTGTGGTGGGGAAGGAAGAGAGGAGCTTGCCTGCTCTTTTGAGTGAGTTTGCAAAACCTAACCCCATTTACATGGGGCTGCTCAAGGCGTTGGATACTCTTGATTCTGATCCTAGCTCAGCCACTTACTTAGCGACGGTGGTGGGCACGTTATTCCCACTTGACTTCCATTTAGTTTTCTCATCACTAAAACGGCGATTAAAAACACATTTGGCTGTTATAAAGGGGAGGTAAGCTAATGTCCATAGGATTATATTGACTACAGTGTTTCAGAAATTGGTGTTCTTTTCTTCCTTCTCAGATTATCTCTATTTGATGGGTGTTCTTCCTAAATCTGTGACTGAACTCCATGTTAAGCCTCACAGTGTCCATCTTGGGATGACAGCATACAGAAGCTGTAAGCTTGCATGCAGTGGAGAAGGGGTAACTGCCCTGAGAACTCACCAGCTACCGTATTGGGCAGAGATCTTGCGGGCTCACAGCTGGATGTGTGTTTTGGCATGAGACAAGTGTGTTAGCTCTGATGAATGAGTCTGGCATGATTGGATGAAAACAGATATCCTGATCTATTCTGAATTTTTTTTCTTATTGAAGATCCCTCAGTTGGTTCTTATTGAATGTCTACTTAGCACTTGACCGCTGATACTCTGAGGTGTTGTTTGGAGGCGATTTCTCCAAATTAAAATGAGATATTAAGTCTCTGAAGTAAAGGAGGCTGTGGTGACATGCAGTGGTTGGTTATGATGGCTGGTTAGTTGGCAAAGAGCAACACAGTTTGAGTGTCAGTGGAAGAATTTCTGAGAGACTTAGGAAGAAGGCATTGGATGTCTGGAAATGGAGACTGGACACTGATCAGTGACCTAAGAAACTGGCTGATCAATGGTTAAATTAATGGAAAAATCTCTGAAATCTTTCAGAAGTGTTTGCTAATTCAAATGGAGGAAGATATATTAGGAAGTCTTCCTGACCTAAGTTAATTTATAGTTTCAATGGCTGTGTTTTCTCTCCTTCAATGCTTTTCACAGATCTTAAACATATTAATTTTCTGTCCAGAAGAACAAATATTAAAAATATTGTTAGTTTTAAATTTCCAAATGTGGCTTCTCTGTGTCTTCCTGTGTCTGCATGTATTACCATCCTTTTTCTTTATGTTTCCAGTTAATTCCCCAACCTCCCTCCCAACCGCATACAAGTTATCTATGGATTGATTCAGTAAAATCAGTTTTCCTAAGCTTAAGTTAGGAGGGAGACATCTTGTTTCCTCTCTCAAAATGACAAATGATTGTTTCTTTCTGAGCTTATCTATGTATGCTTTCCTAAATATGTCTTCTGATCCATCCTCCTCATGAATAATCTTAAACTCTGGAAGTGTTAATTACAATGATAAGGTGTTGAACTGTAACCTAGCCAATGAAAGAACTACTATTTTAGGCTTTATTGTAAAGAAAAATGAGTCCTTGCTAAGCCTTTAGGAAGAGATTTTGTTCTAAAAATATTTCTTATAACTTAGTTGTCCCACTCAGGGCTAAGAAAGGTCACACTCAGCTACCACCTCCAACCCTATATTGCTTTGGTTTTCCACCCCATTTGTGCGGAAAGATATCAGCCCCAAAGACATCAGCGGTTATAGTTTAAGGCTGTGGTCTTCCCAGGCAGTGCTCAAGAATCCAACTGCCAATGACCAGAGACGCAAGGGTCAGGAAGATATCCTGAAGGAGGAAGTGGCACCCCACGACAGTATTATTGCTTGGAGAATCCCATGGACAGGAGGCTATAGTCCATGGAGCTGCAAAGAGTCAGACACTACTGAGCACGCACATGCATGGTTTAAGGGTATGGGTTCACTTGGCAGGTTTGACACAAAGAAATTGTTTCACAATGGCTACTATTAGCAAATATTTGCTGTATAGCTGAATGAAAGGTGTATGAGACATCTGTTCAATCAATGATAATGAATGAGAAGGGTTGGAGCTCTGTGATGAGTGTTTCTATCATTTCTTTGCAACATCTTTCCTTCCTCCAGAAGCCATGATATTGACATACATCCAAAGGTCGATTTTGGGCCAAAGGTGAAAGGTAGCTGACCATCTGAATTCAAGTTACCCTATTAGAGAATCAGATTTTACTGTACGATGGGAAATTATTTTTGTTCAACATCACAAGGGTAATGATATTTATTTGTATTTCCCAGTAGAACACAAAGGGAAAATGTAGTCCTGATGTATCCTTTCTGAAAGATGTACCCGGATCTCCAGAGGCCAGCAATTCTGGGTGCCATCACGTTGCATGAACCTACAAATTGCTTGTTTGCCTGTATTAGTTCATCATGGTTCTCATTTAATCCTCATTTTTTTCCATTTCATGCTTTCCAGATCTGAAAATCTTTCTAATAGTGGCTGTTATACATTCTAATGATATTTAATTTGTTGCCTTTTATCCAGCCTTAATCTCCAAAACTATCTTAAAAATCAATGACTGTAACAATTCTAACGATCTGATGTGATGTTAGACAGTTCAAGTCTGGTCCCACAATAATGAAAAAAATAAAACAGCAATGATAAAAGAATGTGATACTTTCTTGTCCTAGATTTCTTAGCTGTGCTTCCCAAACTTATACAAAATAGGCAGATAGTCCTGTATGGTTTTGCATTAACAAGGGCATGAGAACTGTGCTTTGGAGGTTATAGTCAAAGTGAAGATCGAAGATGGCTACACTGACGGACAATAACCTTGGTGTTTTGCATATTGTTTTCTAATTTATATTTTTGGATTATCTTGCCATCTCCTGTAATACAAGCAAGATGAGATGTTAGCATCCCAGATAATATGGAATGACCTTAGGAGATGAGATGAATGAATGAAAAGATGAATATACTTCTTTAGAAAATATGCACACATACAATTCCATAGACAGAGGAGCCTGGCAAGCCATAGTTCATAGGGTCACAAAGAGTCAGACACAACTGAAACACACATACAACTTTTGCTTATCATTAATCTTTATTAATTCATACATGGATACAGCACAAGCATTTCACATCATTTTGGCACTGTGCACAATTCTATAGTAAGCTGTTTGATCTTATTCAGCCACTACTATATTAGCACAATAGCATTTAGAATATTTCAGCAAAATGTTATCACATTTGTACTAGAGCTGCCAGAAATACTGCTTTCCATGTTTGTAAACAAAAATAGGAACACTTATTACATAAACACTGTGATTGGAAAAATACCCTCTTTTCAAATCCTCCCTTACATTCAAGTAAAGGAGACATAAGCTACTTTAGTATCCAAAATACATTTTCTCTGAAAGAATATATTTTTCTTTTGTCTTTCCAAAACTATATCATCTCTAAAACTATATCATCTCTAAAACTATATCATCTTTAAAACTATATCATCTCTGAAAGGCAGTGGCATAAGAGCACATACTTGAGACTTGAGATGTGGAGGCCTTTGATGTATCTCTTCATTTGGAATACAAATTACATAAGGGTAACTGAGTACTGTTGCAAATTCACAAATTAATCTCAGGTGCCAGTAATGATACTGGTTTACTCAGGGATTTTTGAAGATTTTATATGGAAGTAAAGAGAGGTATGGGAATATAACATTGAATTTTAATGAGAAACTCTTATTTTAAATGAGTTGGTATACAGTCAAACTTGTAGTGGTTAATTGTTTTTACCCCCTCCTGTTTCACTAATAGCATCAAACAAGAGGTCAACCACAAACTGATTTCTAATTAGCCCTACTGAATCTTTCTGGAAAAGGCTGAGATCTTGTTAAGCTTAGAAGCTGGGTGGAAAGCAGTTAATGGAGTTATATGGAGTCTTTTAATTACCAGTCTTAAACAAATTTATCTTTTACTGCTAGATAGCACCCAAGGGCAAGAGGTAATCTGCTTGAGAAACCTCGAGTGATTTGTTATATAAATCCTGGAAGTTTAGGAAAGTGGAAAACTCTCTTTAGAGAGAGTATTCTCTTCCACTAGGAATTCGATTTTTTTGGCAGTTTTGTGAAAAATTTAGTGATGGATTCTTTGTGACTTCTCAATTTATAAATGTTAGTAATCAAAGCACAGTGAACACGAAAGCTAATTCCTTCTTACAGAAGTCAGGACCTGCCCAAGGCCAAGCTGAGCACACGGTATTAGTAAAGTAATGTAATATTTGGAGCCAACTAACTTTTTTTCCATTCAAAGCCTTACATCTTCCTGTCAAATGCAGGTCTTTTCCCCCCACAAACTCAGTCATCTCTACGTTAGAAAGCCACTTTGTTTTGAGGAGGTCACGTTGTAATTTGTGCGGTTTACATTGTGTGTGTGTCTGTGGATGGTAAAACATCTGAGTAACATTAGAATTGATTGAAATTAAAAAAAGAAATAAAAAAATCAGAACCATAGCCAAATACCAAAGTATCCTAATTTCAAAGTTTTGAGTTAAAAAGAAAACCAATGATGGTGATTGAATTTTTCGAAGGTAGAAATGGCTCAAGATTAACACGGAGCACCCTGGATCTGAACTAGGTCAACTTGTGTTTTACTCGGTTACTTTGCTTGCGTTACTCTGACATTTGTACATCTCAGTCCTGGATGAAAGATGGTATTCACAGGAGTTCACAGGTGTTGCAGAGTTCACAGGTGTTGCAGAGTTCACAGGTGTTGCAGAGTTCACAGGTGTTGCAGAGGGAGACTCCATTCCTCGACTGTCTCCCGGTAGCAATAGTACCAAGTAAAACTGTCTTCGGATTCACTATGGACAAATGCACTTGATACTTCTCACAAATGAGATGTGTGCTCCTGGGAGGATGGAGATCACTTAAGATGTAGGGTTGGTCTTGCTCCCAGGAAATGAGGGCTCAGGGGTCACAAGGCTGTTGTCGGCGTCACATTTCAAGCGGATGACTCTTGCTCAATGATCTCCATAGCGACGACCTCAGCACCCTCCACGGCGATGACCTCAGCAGCACCCTGCACGGCGATGACCTCAGCACCCTTCATGGAGACGACCTCCCCTCCCTCCATAGGGATGACCTCAGCACCCTCCTCGCCCAGGTTGTCGGCGGGCCCGTTCTGCGGCTCCTGGTGGCAGATGTAGATCGGCGGAGTCTCAGCCAGGGCGGCGGCGGCGGCGGCAGTGGCGGCGGCGGCGTTGGCCGCGCGGTGGGCCCGGCGGCGGCCATTCCAGCGCTGTGCTTGGTACTGGTTCCACTGGCGCTTCAGGGCCGCCTGGACCTGGAAGACCAAAGAGAACCTTCTGTGCACATCTCTGTCGGGAATGCCCCGAGCACAGTCCTTGGCGCTCATCAGAGGCTGTGTGTGTGTTAGCTGCTCAGTCGGGTCCGACTCTTCGTGACCCCACGAGCTGCAGCCCGCCAGGCTCCTCTGTCCATGGGATTCTCCAGGCTAGAAGACTGGAGTGGGCTGCAGTTCCCTTCTCCAGGGCATCTTCCCCACCCAGGGATGGAATCCGGGTCTCCCCCGCATTGCAGGCAGATTCTTTACCCTTTGAGCCGCTAGGGAAGCCCCCATCAGAGGTTTGGGGAGGTTGAATTTTTAATTCTCATCTAAAAGGGCTGTGTGGGAAAGGCTCTGGCTATGAAATACCATCTTGGAGGAAGAATCTGCAGACCGGAGGACTGAGTAATTTGCCTCAGCTGCCCCTGGCAAGGTTATTTGCTCTTTTGAGCAAAAGTTTCTTCATTAGAGCTTTTATACCATGAATGAAATTTGATCTGGTTTCATATTCAATATGGCATGCGCATCACATTTGGAAGGCAGAGTTTGAAACCTTTTTATCTGCTACAATTTCTGATACAGCAGAAGCTTTTATCTAAATCTACATGTTATTGGTCTTGAAAAAGTATCTGGAAGCTATTCACAGCTCTGGATTTTATGATAATGGCCTTATACTGTTGATTTTCCTTTATCCAGCATGGCTTGAGATGAGGTGTGCCCAATAAAACTCTGGTTAGTGGTTAACAAACCATGTCTTATTCGTGTTTTGTAACGCTAGATGTCATGGTGTTTGGCAAGGAGCAGTTATTCAATAAATGTTTTCTGAATGGCTGTCAACATCCATTCTAGAATGAGTTTCTAATGCCAAGAAAATGACCATCCATGACTGTATTGTAATTAGCGTATTGACATCCAGTGGTATTAGGGTGAGGGTGCTAAAAATGTCTAGACTGAATCTGAGGAAGAAATGGAAGTTTTATTTCATGCAAATATGAAAGCCTGAGTTTTGATATAAGACTTAGAAACACAGGTTTTGGAGAACTTGAATTTCTCCCTGAGGTGAATTATAAACCACTGGGTCATCTACATTTATTGTTAGGTATTCTCTCTCACGCCATGGTGTATGATTTGGAGAACTGCTCGGGAGCTGCAGTGGGTTGCTAATTTTGGAATTACCAGAAACAAACACTTGTAATAGTGACATCACATCATCTTTCAATGCCTTTTCCACTGATAAGGCCATTTCACTGTGTCTCATTTGATGCCATGAAAAAGTATTGAACTTGGGGTCAAGAAAACAGCTCTGCCCACATTAGTCATGAAATCTTGGGCAGGATAGTTAACCCCTCTGAAATTACTTTCTTCAATACAACTTTTCTACCTCACCTAGTTTCCTGATAGATTACATGGCTACAGTATGAATCAGGTGGCATCTAAGATGTAAGTATAATACCAGACAAGGAGGCTACTAGTATTCCTACTGTTATACCCTTATTATGGCAGGATGGTGGTCTTTAATCTTTCGACTAAAGGAAACTCTCCTGTCATGTGTGGATATATATCTTTGGAGGGTGGTGTTGTTAAGGATATAAAAAGAGCTCTTAATGACATAGTTTCTGATTTCATGTTCAGTTACTTCTCATATATTCTAAGTGAGGTCTCCATGGAGAGTCCTCAACAGCCTGGAAAATATTGGATGCTAATGCGAATGAAAGTTTTCTTCACATTGTGATTTGTGCTGGGAAAAGGGTGTTGTTTGAACTTTTTGGGAAAAGGAAAGATAATACTCTTGGTGGGAAGATTACCCTAAGAATGTATTTTCAAATACGAATGCATTTATTAAAGGTATTGATGAATGAATAGTTCACAATCTCCTCTTGCATCACCCACTTTGTCTTCTACTTCACTCCTGAAAAAGACACCATGTTTCCCTGTCAGTTTGTGAGCTTTTGCTTTGCAATCTATGCAATAGGGAGAGTTACAGAATTGAAGAGACTAGATTGATTATGTAAGAAAGGGCTGATATGAAACCATAGCTGAATACATTTGGGAAAGAAGACCCCTCCTGAGTTACACTTTCAGCTAAATACCCGTGGCCATGCCATTTCTCTTCTAGCGCCTCTTCTAGAACCGAGGAAATATTTCAATTGCTTTCCAGTTTTGGGGCTGTCCTGTCTATTAAACATAGGTCCTTAAATGCTGAGTTTATTATCTGCTGCTGCGGCTGCTAAGTCGCTTCAGTCGTGTCCGACTCTGTGCGACCCCATAGACGGCAGCCCACCAGGCTCCCCCGTCCCTGAGATTCTCCAGGCAAAACACTGGAGTGGGTTGCCATTTCCTTCTCCAATGCATGAAAGTGAAAAGTGAAAGTGAAGTCTCTCAGTCATGTCCGACTCTTAGCCAACCCATGGCTCTTCCGTCCATGGGATTTTCCAGGTAAGAGTACTGGAGTGGGGTGCCATTGCCTTCTCCTGCTTATTATCTAGGAACTATCACATGCCCTGTTAAATTAGGAAATATACAGCTCAGAGAAGCACTGTCCCCAGACAAAGGGAACTTGATAGTTTCTATGGATTCAAAATCTCCTAAATACCAACGTTGTCTTTATAGCTAAAACGTAACACAGATATTTAAAGGTGTCCGAGGCGGACAGCACCCAGCAGGGAAAAAAAAAAAAAAGGAAGTCCTTTGTTTTGCCTCATCTGTCCTTTTAAAATAATCTCCACTGGAGTATCCATGCATACTAATGAAGTACCCAGCATGAGGCCAAAGGGTTTGAAGTCTATTTTAATTTTTAAAAATTATGACAGAAACGTTCACTGCCTCCTGTAATTGTGTTCCAGAATTATAAGCTATCCTTTTGTGTGGAGATGGCAATCTGCTTCCATTTGTAAACCACACGTGTAAGAATAGGCCCTTAGCAGCATGTGAAAGACACTTCAATAATTTCAGTTTAATAAGGGCAATTATCTCCTACAATACCTCAGGTTGAGCCTAACAGTGCTTTGATCACAAGAATATGGGCATTAAATCTATTTGAAAAAAACAGAGGAGACTTTGGTTGCTCCTGAAAAGCATCAGAAATATAAGGAGTTGCCCATGGGGAAAGTAGAATACACAAAGTTTTGAATTATATAAATGCATTGCTAGTTATAAAAGCAATTATCACAGATCACTTCACATTTTCCCGATTATGCCAATTTATTTATTGTCAAGTGTAAAAAATAAGAGTCTGGATGGCTTCAAGGAATAATGATTATACCTGGTTCTATTAGTAACTAACTGTATAGGGTTGGTAACATTTGGAGGTCTCTATCTCTATATTTGTAAAAAAGAAAATCAGGTTGGAATCTTTGCAGTTGAATTCGGATGTTTTTGTCTTTGGCCTTTGTCTTCCTGTTAAGTTCATTATAAGAACTTGCAGTTATGTGCTGTTAAATGGAAAATGAGCTTTATCTCAGGAGTTCTGATCGTTTTTTGTCTAGGACAAAGAAATCATTGCTTAGCTTTGGGTCCTGAAGCTGACTTTCTTGAGTTTTCTAGAAAGGCAGTATTTTTGAAAACCAAGTTTTATTGAAAGAAATTTTAAATAGAAAAATTTAGCTTTGCATATGAAGTGATAACATTCCTGATCTGGAAATAGCACATAGTGACATAAGGAGAATCCCTTACAAACAGGAAAGGGAAGTGGTGAGTACACAGCTAGGGAAAACTGGGCATCTTTATAGCTGTAATCTGGAGGAGGAAATGGCTACCCACTCCCGTATTCTCGCCTGGAGAATCCCACGGACAGAAGAGCTTGGCAGGCCCCAGTCCATGGAGTCGCAAAGAGTCGGATGCAACTAAGCACATAGCTGTAATCATCTTTTTGAGGTCTCTTAGATCCTTAGTAACTGACTGAAATGACTGGATGGTCAATGTCCACTGTCTTGGAAGAGTTGTGGGAAATGTTTTTTACATAAGCGTGCTCTCACAGTCACCTCCTGATACCTAGTACTGGAATTCTCAAAAATCCTTTCCTCCACTGACTATCTGACCCATTTCCATGGCAGGTATCACTGATGACAAATGGATAATAATGAAAAATTAAAACCTTTATCTTCATTGTAGAACTGACATATTAGCCCCCTAGATTTCTGCTAGAATGTAACATTCAGTCAGGCA